CCCCCATGGAACAGCACCTACAGAGGGTCAGATGGATCTGACGTGGGGAATCATCTCACTGCCAAGGGAATACCAAATGAAGGCTCCTCCCATTTTACAGATCAGGACCACTGAGAGGAAGATGGGGGAAGGGCTAGGAATAGAAAAGTACTGAGTACCAAGTGAAGAAAAAGTGTCAAGTTTTCCCCCTACCATTAATAAGGAATTCTTGACAGAGGTGCCCGATAAAGAGATAACCTAATGGAGGGAGCTGGGCTAGAAATGCAGATATGCATGAGCATGGCTGGCCAGGGGGGCCTGAGTCCTTGACTGCAACTCCTTAGGAGACTACAATGCATTGGCTATGCACTAAATTTGATGTGGGGAGGAAACAAGTATCAAAAATATTTTAAAATTAAATAATACAAAATATATTTGCTGAGTTTTGTCTACAAATTATTTAATTAGAAACCAATGATAATAAGAGGTCTAGAAGAATCTCTGAATATTTGCAAATTAAACACACTTCTAAATAACCTATCAGAAGAAACCACAAAAGACATTAGAAAATATGTTGAATTGAATGACTATGTAAACACAACTCATCAAATTTTGTAGGCTGTAGTAAAAGCAGTATTTAAAGAAAAAGTTATAGCTTTAAATGTTTAAAATAGAAAAACAGGAAGCTGTAACATCAATGATTTAGACTCCCACCTTAAGGAGCTGGAAAAAAAAAAAAGAACAAATGAAGCCCAAAGTAAGAAGAAATAATAAAAATAAACACAAAATTCACAATATAAAATGGATTTCAATAGAGAGTATCAACAAAGTCAAAAATTGGTTCTTTCAAAAGATTAATATACAGTTGGCCCTCCGTATACCACAGGTTTTTTTCATCTGTGGGTTCAACCAACTGTGGATCAAAAATATTTGAAAAAAAAGAAAAATGTTACATTTTTGCTGACATGTACTATTAGGTTAGGCCTACAGTAGTTGTGTCTGCACTGCACATACACAGAGTTTTTTTCTTGTCATTCTTTTCTAAATGATACATTATAACAATTATTTATATAACATTTACATTGTATTAGGTATAATCACAGTAGGTCCTCAAATAACTTTTCGTTCAATAGCTTTACTTTTTTTTAACACTGATGAGATGCCATAGGAACTTGACTCTTGTTTATATCAGCCAGCCTTTAGTTAAATTGGTTTCATTATACATTATTTCGCCATAGTTGCAAGAACCTATTGACAACATTAAGTGAAGATTTATTGTAATCTAGAGATGATTTAAAGTATACAGGAAGTTGTTCATTGTTCAAATGCAAATACTACGCCGTTTTATTAAGACACTTGAGCTTCTGCAGATTTTGGTCACCTCAGGGGGCCCAGGAACCAATCTTACAGGATACCAAGGGATGACAATAATTGATAAGCTCCTAGCAAGTCTATGAAGGAAAACAAAATTACCAATACAGAGAATGAACTACAGATCTTACAGGCATTAAAAGGATAATATAATTCTGTGCCAATAAATTTGACAATTTGAATAATGTGGATAAATTTCTTATGACACAAATTACCAAAAGTCACACAAGAAACAGAAAACATAAGTTGCCCCAAAGATATTAAAGAAAGTTAATTTTTAGTAAAACAAACACCCTACTCCCAAAGTCCAGATGGTTTCACCAGTAAGTCCTACCAACATTTAAGGCAGATATAATACTATTCTTTCCCAAACTTTTTCAGAAAATAGAAAAAGAAGAAAACACTCTCTTCTACATTTTGAAGTCAAATAACCATGATGCCAAGACCTGACAAAAATATTCCAAGAAAAAAATTATAGTTCAATATCTCTCATGAACACAGCCATGCAAAAAACATATAAAGTATCAAACTGAATCCATTTCACTTTGGAACCACGAGTATGTTTTATATAAACAAAAATGAATCAAAAAATTTAATAATCCCTAATAACCAAAAGCAAACACTTATCTGTTCATAATACTACTAACAGGGTAAATAAAAAAAGGGAAGTGATTACTTCGACTTTAAAATACAATCATTTGACATTAGATTCCTAGTAAAATATAACATACAGGCAAAATAACTAAAAACTGTTTTTCAGTAATTATACTATTATTAATAATACTGGAATTGTTAGTCTAACATATACATATATATATATATATAATTTTTATATTCTGAAATGATTCAGTACACATATACATATATCAATGAGACTAAAGCAAGTAGTTATCTTAATGTTATTAGGAATAAAAATTTTCAGAGTACAAAAAAATACAAATTTTAAAAAATCAAGAAAAACTCTATAATCTTTAAATTCAATTGGAAATACCAGTATAAATTCAAATTTTATTTTTCTCTTTCTAAAAAATGTGTATCTAACCAGCTCTGTTAAAGGCCTACAAACAATAACATCTAGAAGCAATGAGAATTCCTATTATTCTAATTGTGGCTTCTTCAAACCACTTCCCATTAAAAGGAACCAAGGCTCCATAGAGAAGAGGCTGATTTCATGTTTGGGAGAGGAAAATGTACAAGATGAGCCTAGAACTTCTTTTCACACCAGAAAGTTTGGAACCTACCAAAGATTACTGGGGTCATGTCAAAAAGAACCCACAAGGAGCCAAATCAGAGGAAGTATAGAGATGGCCCCACTGGCCATAGATGGACAATTTGAGTATTAAGAACAATAACTGCTATGGACTGAAAAATATAAAATATCTTTAAATCCACAAGTTCATAATGATAACTTAAAAGGAAAAACACATGATAAACTTTGGAAGAAGTACCCCAGCTCATAAATATTGAAGAAATGATAGAATCAGAATATCATTTTGGAACTCCTGATAAAATAATGGATTCCAAGTAAAGATGATCAATAGCTCCTAACATCACATAATGGAAAACAATGAAATATTAGGTACCACTTCACAGATATATACATCATTATGTATGAAGGATTAGTGCAAAACAAACAAGCAAAACACACACACAAAAAGACGTGAACCTGAACTAAATACCAGTTTACAAGAAATACAGGGTTAGAGGAACATGTTAAATGACACCACATATATGCAATCAACAAAATCCAGATCATGGGTAACTGCAAGAAAACTGTTTTTGGAACTGTAAGAAGAGAGAAAGAGAAAGATTTAAGAAATGTATCACACTATTACACTAAACACACTGTTTGGAAATTGATTCTAACAAACCATAAAAAAAATATTTATGGACAATAGGGAAAATTTGTACACTGGCTATTTCATGACATTAAGAAAGTTTTTTTGAGTTTTTTTTTAGTAGTGATGATATTGTCGTTATTTTTTTAAAATAAAAAGTTGTTTTTATTTCTCTTGTAGAAACACATGTTAAAATATTTGTAGATGAAATTATGTAACTGGATTTTATTTCAAGATAATCCATGGTTTTTTTAGGGAGTGGGGGTTAGGGGGGAATAGTGAAGCTATAGACAAAACTGTTTTAATCTATAACATAGATAGATACACATTAAAATATTTAGCTATAGATAAAACATGTGTAGCCATAAACTGATATTCATTGAAGCTGAGAGATGATTAGGGTACATGAGGATACATACATTACACTACACTTCAGTTTTGGATAAGTTTGAATATTTCCACTGTAAGTTTATAAAAAGACTTTAAGGGTAGATTCCAAATATGAACCATATTTCATTCCAAGGGAGGGTTTTTGAGTAATTGTTATTTTCTTCCTTGTTTGTTTCTTTTTGTATTTTTTAAATTGTGTCAACAAACATGTACTATGTTGATATCGGAAAACAACAAAGTAATAGCTTCCTGGAATTTAAAACAAGAACATGCAATGGTTAAAAAAAATAAATTCTCAATAAGTTCATAGAAAAAAGAATATTTAATAGTATAAACTCTAAGACTTTTTAAAAAAATTGGATAGTGGAGAAAGAGATAGGAAGGGTGAAAAGTGAGGAAATGTACCAATTTTATTATTACTCAGAGTTGTAAATCAGGTAGAACTTATGTCAAAAGCATTAAAAAAACTAAAAGTAGGCCACTTCTAGAATATTGCCCCAAAGATAAACCTCTACAAATAGAAGCCATATATACAGTTTCTGATTGCTCCATTATGTAATGGCAAAATACTGAGAAAAAAAACAAATGCCCACCCATAGGAGACTGGCTAAATAAACTATTAAACTCACACAAAATGTAGCTATAAAAAACGATGTGGAAGATGTGTACAGCCTGCTACAGAATGATCTGTGGGATATATTAAATGTGAGAGGAAAAAAAAATGAAGGTGCAGAACAGTAGACATAGAATCCTCCCTTTTAATTAAGAATGGAGACAATTTTATATATATATATATACACACACACACACACACACACACACACACACATATATACACACACATATATATAGATATACACAAATATATACACACACACATAAACATATATATTACTTAAAAGAAAAATAGAAGAATAAACCAAAGATAATTACAGGTAGTTATATAGAGAGGAAAGAAGGAAACAGAGTGGAGGGGACAGGATTGGACACCAGACTTCTCTGAATTCACCTTGTTCTGTAGTTTTGATTTTTGAAATATGTAAATATTTTAAGTAATTTTAAAATAAAATTAAAATCAAAGCCGGGAAAAATTTTCTCTAAAAGCAGACGCAAGATGAGATAAATGAGCCTAACCGTCTCTCAAGTTGGTGGCTTAACTATATGAGAAGTGTTATTTTAGGTGACTTTAAAAACACAGTGATTTGATTATAGGTCCTACTGGGTTATATCATATTGAACTCAGGAAGTCTTGATTGTTTTTCTGTATTTATATGGTTAGTAAAAATATTGGTATTGTTATTTTGAAACTCTCTCAATCCAAAATGAGAAAAGAAGGAAAAAGGAATAAAGGAAAGATGGGACAAATATAAAACAAATGGCAAGATGATGGACTTGACTCACACCATATCAATGATCATGATAAATATAAATGGTATAAATACTCCAATTAAAAGAGGTATTTTCAAACTGGATAAAAACACAAGATCCAACTAAATGCTGCCAACAAGAAATGCACTTGGACTATCAGAACACAAATAGGTTAAAAGTAGGGCTGGCCGAGTGGCTCAGTTGGTTAAGAGTTGGCTTGGGAGCGTGATCTCTGAGCAGGAGGGCAGCCGGTTCGGGTCTCACATGGGCTAATAACACTGTGCTCTCTACAGGTATGATTGTGAACAGCAGCTCGACCTGAAGCTGGGCTGCCCTGAGTGGCCGGTGACGGCAGAGGCTGCAGCCCCCGCTGCAGTGGGCTGTCATGAGCTACCGTGAGTGCCCGGCAGCCAGCGTTAGCAGCCAGCAGCCGGTGAGAGCTGCTGTGAGCAGCCATGTATGGTCGTCCAATGGCTGGTGGCCGACTGCCTCACCCGGGAAGAGCACAATGGTCATAATACTAACATGGGCCAGTGAAGCGACATCTTCCACAACTAGACTAAAGAACAAAAGGACAGCAACTTGTCTGTTCCCCTTCCCCAATTCCCCAATAAAAAAAAATCTTAAAAAAAAACCAAAAACAAACAAACAAAAAAAACCAAATAGGTTAAAAGTAAAAGGATAGAAAAAGACGTATCATGGTAACACTAATGAAAAGACAGCTGGAGTGGCTTCATTAACTATCAAGAAAAGTAGATTTTCAGAGCAAAGAGTATTACTGGGATAAAGAATACCATTTCATAATGATTAAAGGGGTCAATCCACTATTAGAACATATAATCTAAAGCATTTATGTACCTAATAACAGAGCTTCAAAATACATGACACAGAAACTTATAGAAACTATGAGGAGAAAGAGATAAATCCAAAAGACAGAAAATCATCAAAGGTACAGAACACTATCAACCTACCTAAGTAGCTGACATTTATAGAATACTCCACCCAACAACAGCAGAATACAGTCATTTGAAGTGCACACCAAACATTTACTAACATAGACCACACATTGTCAGTCATAAAACACATCTTAATAAATTTAAAAGAATTCAAGTCATATAAAGTATATTCTTTGAATACAATGGAATGAAATTAGAAATCAGTGACAGAAAGCTATCTGGAAGATCTTCAAAGTATTTGAAAACTAAATAAAGTATTTCTAATAACCCATAAATCAAAGAAGAAATTGAAAGGTAATTTAGAAAGGATTTTGAAATAATATTGCAATAACTATGTATGGTGCTAAATGAGTACTGGACTTATGGGAGAATCACTTTGTAAATTATATAAATGTCTAACCACTATGCTGTACACCTGAAACTAATATAAAATAATATTCAATGTCAAATGTAATTGAAAAAAATTTTAAAGAAAAAAGAAAGGATTTTAAACTGAAGGCAGAATAAATGAAATAAGATTGGCAAGTGATAATCTTTAAGCTGGGCATATGATGGCTCATTATACTTTTGTGTACGTTTGATAAATTTTAAAAAGTTCTGGGTGGTGAACACATGATATAGAGATGATGTACTACAGAACTGTACACTTGAAACCTATGTAACTTTATTAACAATTGTCACCCCAATAAACTTTAATTTAAAAAAATTTAAAAAGTTAAAACAACAGAATGCTGCTGTGTCAGAAATAACACAAGATTATCTCCTTTTTAAATTTATAAATCTCAAATCCATTCTTCTTCAATTTAAACACTATTGGGAAGACCTATCTATCACAACTAACTGCACATATTCCTTGCTCCCAATCTACAGAAAATTGCCTTGCCCCTCCATTATTTAAAAAGGCTTAGATAGGAAACTTCAAAAAGAAAACAAAGACTCCTATGTCCTGAAAAAAACAAAGGCATTTCAGGAAACAAAGGGGAAACACCTACTCACCTTGGACTTTGCTTTTAAAGGTGTAACAGCCATTTTTCCTCCTCTGGGCTCTACTCTCAGGAAAAGAAAATGGAATTAAGAGATAGTAGGCCTTTCTTAGGGTATATTCTAAAATAGAACACATCCTCTTCTGTCTCCCCATGCCCCCAACCTAACCCTCATTTAACATAGAGGGAGGTCAGAAGGAGACTAGAGCAGTTCCGCCTTTGTGTATCAGAAAGAAGTACCAAGATCACAACAGTCTAGGGCTAGAATTTATTTTTAGATTCAAAACTGTCCACTAAAGACAGAGTCCTGCAGTGGACTGCTACAGGTTCTGAATTGTGTGGCTTGCCTCCTACAACACATTTTTCTGAAAGTATTTCCATTCCAGAAACCCCATTACATTTACAAGTGGCCTGTCTTTAAGGTGCTATCAGTTCTGAAATTCTCAGCTCAAGACCAGGTCTGTGGCTTAGAAATAACTCATGTAGTCTTCATTCATGAGCTCAAATTTCTTCCTTCCTGTCACTTCTTGTACCCAATACCCTTAAGGTGAGAGGTTACCAGAAAGCAGTAGGGAACCTACTACAATCCCTGGGTGAACTAAGGATGGATACAGAAATAAAGCAATCAATACAGGCCGTGTGTGAATTCTGGAAGAAGGGAGGGTAGTCACTAGTCAGAAGAGAAAGAAGTCAATTCCTCCAGGTAGGACAAAGCCACATGGGTAAACTCAGCCCCAGAATGAACCCAGTAAGTACCAAAACAATTTTACCTCTCTACCACACTCAATTCCCATATGGGCACAGACTATAAAATATACAAATGACAACTTAAGTCACCCAATCACATTTCCAGTCACACAGCCAGAGTCACAATCACCACGTGAAAGCTACATTGTCATAACGCCTAGTCTTAAACAAAATCCAGTCATACACAGAGCATACACATAACCCCACCCAAGCATATCCAAGCACAGTCAGGTCCACACACAGCCAAAAACACCCTTTCACAGCAGCACTTTTACTCTCTTCACAGTCAATGAAAACGGCACACACACACAGTCCCAATCAGATAGTCACAATCAGAAAACCACAACCAAGTACTGGGTCAAGGAAACAAGCAGTCTCAAACACCCTGTCACAGCAACACTCATAACACCTCAGTCAACAGGCAAGCCCCAGAAATACACACGATACACAGGCAAATACACAACCTCAAAGTGACACAAGAACATCCAAACACCCTGTCACAACAGCACCGTAGCACACCTCACAGTCACAAGCAACCCCAGTCATACACGCGGTAAACACACAATCACAAAAGCACATTCCCAGTCAGTAACCACGCGGTCACAAACACACTGGCACAGCAGTATCATCAAACCCTCAGAGCAACTCACTCTCACACGAACGCTTAAACACACCACAGTCGCACACGCTCATTCACCAACACTCGTCAGGCTTGCCGCACAACACAAATCCGAAGACACGGCCGCAAACGCAGTTAGTTCCAGGGACGCTTCCTCCGAGCACTTCTGCCCACCTCGACAGAAGGTACAGTTCAGGGTCCAGCGTCTGGCACCCGGGGTCCAGGCCGATTTCGTGTTCGCGGGCCCCACCGGAGCCGGTCCGAGCTCTTCCACAGATACCGCGCTCTCCTCACGTCTCCTCACGCAAGGCCCCCAAATCGCGCGAACGGAAATGAAGCCGCGTTTAAGAACCCGGTGGCTCTGGGAAATGTAGTCCAACGCCGGGAAGGCTGTGGCTGGCCGGCCAAGGCGCTGGCAAACACAGCCCACCAATCCTGGGTGGGTTTCGTGGACCCCCGCTGCTAGAACCCGCTAGCCCCAAGGGCCGCGCCGGAGATTTCTAGGAGCACCCGTCAGCGCTCAGTACGCAGGCGTAGGTTGCGCGCTGCCGGGGAGATTGGAGCCGATACCGCGAACTGCTGAGTGGGTCCGATCAGGAGCAGGTAGGACTAGCTGGCTGGGCAGGTGCAGGACAGGAGCTGGGCGGGGACCGGCCGGATCCTCGGACTGGCAAGAAACCCTTTGTGTGCCTCACCAGGCCCTCTGGTGTGTGAACGTACGTGAGACAACGCGAGATGTTGTCCGGCGGACTGAGTCTCTTAGTGGCCGGGTGTATTGTAGTATTTCTGCCTGTGTGTGATTGTACGCGCTGTTGGGTGTGGGGTGGTCCGAACTGGAAGTTGCACGGTAATGGCATTTTTATAACTGTGGCATTGTCTGACAGAGTAAGGACCTCTCCTGTTGTGGTTTATTTGTTTTGCGTCCATGATTGAGTGCGGTTGCGTGACTGGTGATGATTTGTCTATATAAATGTGCTTTTCTCGCGCCTGTATTTCACAGTGTCTGCAGGAATTCGAGCATGTGTGTGACTATGAAAAAAGATGGCCGGTCAAGTTATTCCTCGAACACTAATTTGGTGATCTGGAAAAGGTTAAAATTTATCTGGAAAATAAAGGATTTTTCTATTGGAGCAAATACATATATTATGGGAAAGAATGCAAAATAAACATAGTTTTTGTTTTAAGAAAGACGATTTCAAAGCCAGTTAGTTCTAGGGTTACTGTTTTTTCCTCAGCCACAGTCCCCCACAATGAACATCCATTCTTTTCTACTATTAGGAAGACATTATTGGGTAAGTTTGAGAGGCCATCTAATAAAATAGTAAAATAAGTTTATGCATAAGAAGAGTGAATTTTAGCAGATTCCAGCATTATTCAGATTTCCTGAATTCTAGGTCAAACCCTTTTCCCCATTTTCTGATAAGCAAACGTTGGCTCACAGAGAGGAAGGAACTTAAGGCAGTATGGTTTGTTGGTAAGCCTGAACTTGTCTTCACTTACTTTAAGATCTCATGGCTTTTTAAAAATAAAAATAATTACAAACTTTTGAACTTTCAGCACAAGAAGATAATCCCACCACTCCTCCAGGGGGAATAAAATGAATAAAACTTGCTCCAACTTTCAGGACCTTATACCAAATACTTTGATCTCTTCCCAGTAATGTGACTGGAATAGCAAATTTGGTGACCAGGTTTGTTGAATGAATGAACCTGTGTGCATGATCCTGTGTAGCTATGTGCAATAAAAATAGTCAAATTGCACTGACTTAGAGTGGGTATCAAAGTGGAGCAAGAATTGTGTTAGAGTATGCATGAGGTATGTAGATTGGGGTTTTTTTTTAGAGGTGACACATTCTGATTTCAAATTAGATGACATGCATTGATCTCAAGTCACTTCTATGAGTGTTTGATTCTGGGTTATCTCTTGGCTTTTGGATAGTTGTGATAACTGCTTGCAAGAAAAAGGAGGCTGTTGTTTAAAAGTGGAAAGCAGGAATTGTTAACCTGAGATTAATAGATTCCATGATGGGATTCTTATTGTATATTAAACTCGTGACATTTTGTATGTGTAGATATAATGTGAATTTTTTTGTTTGTTTTAGAGAAAGTATAGGCAGTTTTATCAGATTCTCAAAGAGGTACTTTGACCCCAAAAGGTCAAGACCATTAGAAATACAGACTGCAGGAGCTGAGGAGGGTTGTGTTTTTTTTTAGCATACCATGTAATATATTTAATTAAAAAATAGTATATCTTTTATGGAGGGACACATGCTAAACTCTGTCAATGGCAACCTTTGCGGTGAGAAGAGAGGGCTTACGGTCAGGAGAGAGAAGTGTCAAAGGGAACTTTAAGCATTACTGATAATCTCTTTTTTTCTTTACAAGGAAAACATACTACTCATGTATTTAAATTTAAATTTTAAAATTCAAAAGAGAATGGAGATTGGAGATTCTGAAGCAAGAAAAAGAGCCAAAAGACCCAAATGCTGTAGAAGCAGACAAAATCCAGAAAAACATGCCCCTTTTGAAGACTGCAGAGAGAAAGGAATACTCAAGCAATAATTTTTTATAGGCCTCAGGTGCCTTGTTTTTCAACTGGCAGTTTCAGATTTATGTCCTTATGACCCATTTTGATCTTGCAGACCTTTAAGGATTAGTTATCTTTTCAGTCTAGCAACTGGATTCGGTCCTCTTGGAGTGGATGCCTGTGAACAGCATTGGTGAGTATGTTCCTTCCTGGTACTGGATCATTTTCTTTTGACTCTTGGTCAATATTGGCAAATGATTTTGATTTTCTTCCAATAGATTGGGTTTATACCAGTATATATGAGTGAGGCATTCAATTAGTAATCCTGGGAAAGTATTTGAGACATTCTGTTATTTTTATAATTATTTGTCCTGTTTTTATTTTGAAAAAATCTAAAGTTACAAGAAAACTAAAAGAATAGTATAATGATGTATACTGTATATCCCTCATCTAGACTCACCAGTTTTCAACATTTTGCACCACTTGCTTAACCTCTGTCTACACCTATTTACATATTTTGTTTGTTTTTTGCTCAACATTTATGAGTAAGCTGTAGACATCATATACTTCGTCACTAAATAATTTAACTTGCATCTCTAAGAACAGAGTTCTCCTGTATAACATCAATGTCATGAATACACATAAGAAATTTAACACTGATTTATAATATCATCTGTGATATAATCCATATTTAAATTGCCCCAGTTATTCCCTAAATGTCCTATAGGTCCATTTAAAAAATTGATCCACATTTCAAATCAAAATCACACATTGCATTGGATGGACCTATCTTAAAAAAAAAACACACAACAAACATTTATTTCTCATAGTTTGAGAGGCTGAGAAGACCTAGACCAATGTACAGGCAGATTTGGTTCCTGGTGAGAGCTCCTTCCTGGTTTACAGATGGCCACCATCTCACTGTTTATTCACATGATGGAGAGAGGGTATTTATTTTGTTTCTTTACTGTAAAGCAGTGTTCCTTTTACCTGTTTTTGTGTTTCATGATGATATTTTTGAAGAGTTGAAGAGTCTAGAATGTTTATCTTGTAAAAATGTCTAAAATTCTGTATTTGTTTTGTCATGACTAGGTTAAGTTTAAATATATTTGGCAAGAATACTGTCGATGGTGGTGTGTTCTTCCTATTGTATCATATCAAGAAGTATGTAATTTAAGTTTGATCCATTACTGGTGATACTAAATTTGATCACTTTGGTTCAAGTAGTGTGCGCACCTGATTTCCCCATGATAAAAGTTACCTTTTTTTCTTTGTGAATCAAGAAGTAATCTGGGCCTGCCGAGTGGCTCACTTGGTTAAGAGTGCAAGCTCTGAGCAACAGCGTCGCTGGTTCAATTCCCACATGGGCCAGTGAACTGTGCCCGAGCTGAGCTGCCACTGAGCTTCCAACAGGTGGCAGGATGACTCAGCTGGTGAGATCACATGCTCCTAACAACAAGGTTTCCGGTTCGACTCCCTCATGGGATGGCGGGCTGTGCCCACCCGCAGCTAAGATTGAACATGGCACCTTGAGCTGAGCAGCTGTGAGCTGCTGACGGGCGGCCAGATGGTGACTGGACTTGGAGCTGAGCTAGCTGCGCCCCCCACAACTAAGACTGAAGGACAACAACTTGATTGTTCCCCTTCCCCAAGTCCCCAATAAAACCTTTAAAAAACAAAAATATCTGAGAAGGATTAAAAGGAGGGACAAGTAACAGAAAAAAACATGGTGTCAGTAATGTCCATAGATATCATTGCACTCATTTGCTCAAGTCAATGTCAATTTATATGGAAATTTAGTGGGAAAAAATACTTTACCCATATCAACCCCCAACAATGATAGGAAGCAGAACAGAACAATATCCAGAAGAAAGAGACAAGTTTCTAAAAAATGTCTCTTCCAAATAAAACAGCAGGATGAGCTGGTTTAACAGGTAGATTTTACCACTCCTATAACTGATAAGCCAATGCTACTTACTTAATTCAAGGCCTTCAAATGATCAACAGTCCCCTACACATATACTTTCCTGTAAACCAAGAATCATATGCTGCTGGTAGGTGGGAAAATTGGTACAAACATTTCCCAAGCCTATTTGGCAATATCTCCTAAACTGAAGAGATGTAAGCCTATGACCCAATAATTCCTCTATTTTCTGTATAGTCAACAGAAATCTGTGTGTCATCAAAACATGTTCTACTGGGTAGTTGGAAAAGTCATGACGCATTTTTGCAACGAAAAACAGAAAAAATACTTCATGACTTTTCCAACAACCCAACAGAATTTACATACCAGTATTATTCATAATAGTTGCAAATTGGGAACCACCCACATGGTCATTAACAGCCCATGACGCTCCTAGATCCAATTACTCCCATTGCATTTAGGTTTCCCAGTTCAGTGGCTGCAGTTTCCACTCTAAGTAAAGTCTGACCTATAAAGAAAAAATATCACTGGGCCGGCCGAGTGGCGCATTGGTTAGCAGTTTGCTTAGGACGCCAGCTCTGAGCAGCAGTGCCTCAGTTCGGGTCCCACATGAGGGCCAGTGACGCTATGCCCTCTACAGCTAAGGTGGTGAACAACAGCTCAACCTGGAGCTGGGATGCCGTGAGTCGCCGGCGACGGCATAGGCTGCAATGGGGCTGGCCAGCAGCTGGCATGAACTTTCGTGAGCTGCTGTGAGCTGCCGAGAGTGGCCATACAATGGCCGGCGAGCGACTGCCTCACCCAGGAAGAGCACAATGATAATACCAACATGGGCCAGTGAAGCGACGTCTTCCACAACTAGACTGAAGAACAAAAGAACAGCAACTTGTCTGTTCCGCTACCCTGATTTCCCAATGCTGTTACCCTCCCCAAATTCCCCAATTAAAAAAAAAAAAAGATTTGTGAATGATATTGACATACATACATACAAGATATACGCAAAATGGAATCTGCAAGGCATGCGTTCTTGTGCACTTTATAAATTGAAATACTAGATTTTTGGATTGATATTAGAATATTTTTTGAAAGCATGGAAACATAATATGAGACTGACAGCTGCTGTCTTAATCTCATAATTATGCTAACTGATCCTTAACTGCTTATTTCCTAACTTTAGAAGTACAAATACCCTCTCTATAATCAACAATCTATGGATGGTTTCAGTAGAGTCACAATTAGTGTTTCATTAATTGCTTAAACACCCAGAGGTAAAGAAAACCAATCTATTCAAGCAATTACTAGTAGATACAATTTCTGCACAGGATCAGATGACTCCTGTAGGTCATCCTGCTCTTTATTACAAGCATGGAGGTATTAGAAGTGCGCCTCTAGTAGTCCTGAAAATTCAGTCTGTGATTCCTATAAAGTAGACTGAACAGCAAACTGATTTTATAACTACATCCTTAAGCACCTTAAAGATCAGTTTTCGTTATCACTTGGATTAAACCACAATAAATACTGTCATTAGGATTACACTAAATCACATTAGGAGCCATCAGGGATTGGCGTAGGTATAGGACCCCATCTCCCTTTACTAGCTCAATTCATGCATCAGAATTCTTCCTCCTTCCTGTGCAGCACTGGCACTGAAACAGGTTAATACACAGAGGATTGCCTTTTTCTGATCACTTAGCCAGATTCTTAATAGGGCCTTTCTCTCACACACTCTACCTCTTAAACTGAAAAAGAAACTACTCACATGAATCCTTCCCACTACCAGGATGGTGGGCTTGGTGTGAAGGTCAATATTGCCAGCACATGTGGAAGGGAGCCCACAGCCAGACCCTGAGATATGGGTTATAATTCCGTGACCTCCCCTCCTCTCAGAACTACAATGATCATTTCATCTGTAGCAACACTGCCAGTGACAGGCTTGGGAGCTGAGAATATTTCCGAAAAGCTTTCTCTCAGTTGTTAATTACTAAGAACATCTACAAATTTCTAGCCAGCACCCCTCATGAGACTATTAAGTGTTTGAGAGAGGCTTTTTCTTTTCCTTGATCTCTGGAGGCAGACAAGGTCTCACATAGAGGAGAGCAGGAAAGGAAATGCTTAGGTCTAACACATGAGGGATTGGCTGTGAGTCTGTGTCTCTCTGGATTCTCCACTTCACTGGGAAGTTTTTCTGCTCCAAAACTAGTGCTTTCCTAATCTTCAGACCACCAAGCTGAATCATCATTTAAGGCATTAGTAGAGAAATGGAATGAGAGAAAATAACTTGGGAAGAATATTCAAACACATACAAATAAACAGAACACGATGTAAATAACTCCCTATAGAAATGATTTGCACAAATCAAAGTTAATTAATTTAGCCTCATTTGCTTAATTCAATGCCAGTTAATAGGAAAACATACTTTACATTACTTACCTTTATCAATGATAAGCATTAGACAAATTAGACAAAATAATATACATAGAGAAGGTTCTAGAAGAATCTTACAAATAAAAGCACTCAGATCAGATGGCTCAATAAACAGATTCTACCATTCTTGTAAATATCTGTGAGCCAATGCTTCATTACTTAATTCAGGAGAATCCAGTGGTTACCACAGTTCTCTACATTTTTTCTTACTTATTTATTGGTTGCTGAATTATCAGTAATGAGCACTTGTTGCTTTGGTAATTAAGAAACAGAAATTAGGAGTGAAACTGATCCTTTGGTTTTCCCTACAAACCAATCCACATTTGATGCAGGCTCACTATACAACTGCCAATTTTCAAGTCAGGGGCTAGAGTCGTACAGTGGGCAACCCAAACCTTACATGAACATGCACTCATTTACACTTATGTGCAGATGCAAACACATGTGCATGCACACTGACACACTCACATATACTCACATAATTATTATATACATATACAGTCACATACTCACACAATTTCAGTGCAAATTTACAAACTTTCATGCATACAAGCACATACAAACACACTCATTATCATAAGCAATCACGACAGATTCACACAGACATATTCACTCTCATAAAATCAATTTACACAGTCACTGTATGTGTGTGTGTGTTTTGCTGCTATTCATATACAGAAGAGTAGTTGTGTCTTCTGACCTCTGGATGCTAGAAATGGGGGTCCTTCCCATGATTTGTAATCCTTCCAACCCTGCAACAACCCATAAGGACAATATTCAAAATACACAACCTTAAAAATTGCTTTGAGCATTGCCACCATAGGTCAGCATGTATGGTAAGAAAGTTGGAGTGTTCGGGGGACAGGCAGTGCATGGGTGTGTGAGAGAGTACAGTGAGAGTGAGGGCACAGGGAAAGGGACTATATGGATAAGGTCATGGTGAAGAAAGCCTGGGGAATGGGAGAATGGAAAGAAATAGGCAGAGGGATAAAGAAAAAAAGTGTTAAATGTGGCAGAGGGGTTAAAGTGCACAGATTTGAGGGTTCAACGGGGCAAAGTGTGCAGGGAAGTTAAAAATCTGGCCATATTGGTCCTAGGGAAATAGGGGTGTGGGTTTCACAGAAATGGAGAAGATAGTGTGGATAGGGAGTTTGGGGTCAAAATGTTGAAGGTCTGTGGTTAGTAAAACTCCCAGAAGACTTAATGTCTATGAGGGGTTAAAAACATGGTAAGAGAGGAGGAAGGGGGATGTTGTGTGGCAGGCAGGTGCTGGAAATATAGTATGGCCCAAGGCAGATAGAAAGTGTGGGAAGAGATGAAGCATGGAGGAGATAATGAGCAAAAAGAGGGAGTCAAAATAGGCACAAGGGAGAGCTGGGGAGGACAGTGGGCATGAGTGAGTCAAGGAGCCCAGGAGAAAGGTCAGGGATTATAGGGCTGATAATAATCCTTGTGAGCTGTGGATTGGGTTCATGGAGGAGTTGAGAATGCTTGACAGTTGAAGCTGGGAATTTGATGATGTGGGGCACAGAGGACAGGGGAATGGGCTGAAATATGTAAACTAGGAACAGAAGAAAGGGAAGGGACTGAATGACCTGGTTTGCAGGGATGATGGAAGGTGTGGAGGGTTGGAGTCCCTGGAATAGTGGTCACATAGGGTCCAATGTCAAAAAAGTGACAAGAGGGAGTTTTGGGTACAATACAAAAGTCTGAAAAGCATTCAGCAGAGGTGAGGGCTGACTGAAGGTTTAGTAGATGGCTTCAGCTCACAGAAGTAGAAGCTGGAGGATGTATTTGGGGGAGGGGAGTCCAGGTGTTGGGAGAGGTGGGTTGAAGCTGGGAATGATGGAGGTGGTAGAGGGCAGATTGGAGGCCACTGTTTGATTCCCCATTCATTGATTCCCCAGTTTATGGTCAAATCACAACAGCCATGGATAGTTTCTAATTGCAGCTCAGGAGACAAACATCTTGCTTCTCTTGGGTTGTCAGAAAAGTCATGACGTATTTTTGCAACAGATGGCACTAGTTCATTTTTGGAAGTACTAGAGTCATTCGCATCTATGTTATTGCTACGCCATATGACAGCTGACAGTTATTGGTTCATTCTAAAAAGAAATTGAGCGGTTTTGCTGAGTTTTGGAGATTTTACAACAAGTTAAAGATGGAAGACCAAACTGTGCATTTTTGCCATATTTTACTGTTTTCCTTTCATAAAGGGAAGAACATGCATCAAGCTTGTGAAAAGTTGCATAAAGTTTACAGTGACAATGCTCTATGAGAACATCTGTGCCAACGATAGTTCACAAAATTCTGTGCTGGTAATTTTGATCACAATGATGCTCCTCAGTCAAGGAGGCCCACCGAAGTTGATGACAGCAAAATAAAGGCATTGATTGAGTCAAACCCACGTTACACGACATGAGAGATTGCAGAAACGTTGAACATCCATCATTCAAGCGTTCATGACCACCTGAAGAAGCTGGAATACGTAAGCAAGCTCAATATTTGGGTTCCGTATGAACTCAAAGAAGTTCATTTGACGGAGCGTATAAACATCTGCAATATGCTCATTAAACGTGAGGAAAACTGTCCTTTTTTTTAAGTGACTGATAACTGGTAATTAGAAGTGGATTGTTTACAGTAATGTGGTGCACAAATGGTCTTGGTCCCGACGTCATGATTTGCCTCAAACGACATCAAAAGCTTATTATTTTCCATCTTTTTTATTATAGCTATCCCAGCAGATATAAAGTGGTATTTCATTGTGATTCTGATTTGCATTCCCTAATGACTAATGATGCTGACCATCTTTTCATTTATTTGTTAGGCATTGGTATATCTTGTTTTCAAAAATACCTATTCATTTACTGTGCATGTTTTAACTTAAGTTATCTTATTTGTCCGTTTATTTAAAGAACTCTTTACATATGCTGGATATAACACCCTTATAAGGTGTATTACTTGCAAATATTTTCTCCTATTTTGTGCATTATCTTTTCACTTTCTTGACAGTGCCCTGTGATACACAAGTTTTGATGAAACTTTATTTAGGGGAGGGCTTGCTCATGCTTTTGGTGTAATACATAAACCATTGACTAACCAAACGTTAGGAAGATTTATACCTATGTTTTCTTCTAAGTATTTTATAGTTATAGGTCTTGCATTAAATTCTTTGATATGCTTTGAATTACCTTTTGTATAAGGTGTGAGTTAGGGGTTCAACTTAATATTTTCCCATGTTGATATCCAGTTGTCTCGTCTATTCAGTATTTTTAAGCATGAGATTTAGAAATATAATTAAAATCACTCTTTCATTGAGATGAAATGATAGGAGGACCAATCGACCATGGAACCAATACGGTCATGCTGGTTGAGATTCTTAGGTTTTGAAAACATAGAAATAATAGTGTGGTGAGGGATTGTAACAATCTGTGTTTGGTCAGGAAAACTTATACATACAATGATTTTAGAGTAAGAATTATATAAATTAAGGCAATAATTTGGGAGAAATCCAAACAGGGAACTGTATGAAAGGCTGGTGGATCATAGAGATAGTCACTGGCAACTATATCCTGAAGGTCCAGGTTGGATGGAGAAGCCAAAGATCATGGATATGTCTGAGAAGTTACTGCTCCTCGATGCGTTAAATGTGTTAGAGCTTGTGGGAAGGTTTGCAAAGTCTTTATTTGGTCACTGGGTTCTCCCGAAATTGACATTTTCTGCTTCACTCCTGCCTTCTAAATTCCACACAGGTCTTTCTCACTGGCAAACTTCAGTGAGAACTACACAGCATTTAAAAGAAAAAATAATGGCCACAGCGGACTAGGACAGAAGATAATGGGATAAGCAACAGAAAGACCAAACGCACGGGGAGAGGTGGACAAAAAAGATGTGTGTGAAACAAGGGATTTTAAAACAGCCCACATATACCAGGGAATAAAAGTATCTGAGAAATCTATAAGCTGTCTTCTCTTCTGCAAACAGAACGTGAAGGTGAAGACATAGTGGTAAATGGCATGGCTAAGCATTAAAGCAGTGTCAGCTCAGAACCAATCTGCAAATACTGAGAAGGTAATTTATTTTCTTTTACTCTTTTTATTTTGCCTCTGGGCATATAATGAAATCTGTCAAGCCACAATATCAGTATTTAGCTAATGGAAGACAGACTACATTGACCACGCATGATAATAAAGACAGTCTTTGCAAAATCAGTTTGGAAAAAGCCCCAAACAAATTAGTCACAACTAGCAGCAACAACAAACTAAAAAAAAAAGAATCTGATTTCCATATTATAATATTTAAAACCCCTTCATCTGCTCGTCCTGCCCGTGGTGAGTCCCAGCATCATCAGGAGATGTTCAGAGGCCTGGTGGCTCCTGGTTGGGCCCGAGACCCACATTCATTAAGGATTAGAGTTGCTTCGAGTTAGGTTCCTAACTTTCATCCCTTGTTCCAGGTAGGCACCATGTGCCACATCATTTTCCTGCTTGAAACTGTTCATTCCTTATTCTTCCCCCTCCCCCAATTGCGTTGGATAGTCTTCAGATGGGAGGTGGGTTCTTTTGCACAACATCCTCATCCCCAGCCTGGCCCTGGTGCTCCAATTGTAGCCCCCAGAAATCTGGAAAGCATGTCCCGCTCCTAAGAGCCCCGCCCTGTGTCCTCTCAGGTCAGCCCTTGCCCCTCCCTAGTCCTCCACTTTGTCCTCACCACCTTGGGGAGCCCAACCCATGCTCTGGGGAGGTGACATGTACCTGTTTGGTGACACTGCACAAATCACATCCCACTGGCTGTGCTTACCGGGGTGTATTTATATTCCTGATGCCTCCAATGGAACTGTTCTTCCAGGCAAGTGACATCTTCATTCCATACTCATGAATGCCCAGGTTGAGGACAGAAACAGACTAAAGGGGAAAAGACAGGGGAGGAGAAAAATGAGGGCAAACTAGAGGAATGAAATGGTGGACTTGGAGAAATAACAGAATGCAAGAAGCAGAAGGACAAAAGAAAATACAGAAATACAGTGATCACCGGAGATGAAGGGCAGTAAAATAAGGAATGGGGTGTCTTCATCAGAGGTAGAAGTAGGCCGACAAAGGTGGGTACATCAGACTGGATGGAGGGAGTAAAAGGCCACCCCTAATAAGGGAGGTTGCCCCTAACCTTTCTCCCTTCTTGTCTTACAGCGGTGGTCACTGTGACAATAAGAGCTGTGAGATAATGGGGGCACAGAGGACTAGAGAGGAGGCTGGGTCTTTGATGACTTCCTAGAATATCCTGCAGTACAACGGCTAGACATCCTAGTATGTGAGAAGATAAACTTCCTACTTGTTTCAGTCAGAATTTTCCAGGAAATCTTTCACTCACACACAAAACCTAAGCTACCTGACAAAGGACACTTGTTTTCTGTAGTTATACAGTGCAGCATTTAGGAAGAAATCTTGAAATATTTAAATCATACAGTACAAAAATTGTACTTGAAAGCCTTACTCCATTGCTAAGATGGACCTATTTAACTCATGTTGCCTAAAATAGATCATGTGAGAACATTAAAAGTATTATATAAATTTGCATTGTCATTAATTTTTAAATGTATGCTATAATTTCAAGGTTAAAAGAGACACTCATGGGCCGGCCGAGTGGCGCGATGGTTAAGAACTCGCTTGGGATGCCAGAGGGCCCTGGTTCGGATCCCACATATGAGGGCCAGTGACACT